TTTTTTTTGCAGTACGCGGGCCTCTCACTGTTGTGGCCTCTCCCGTTGCGGAGCCCAGGCTCCGGACACGCAGGCCCAGCGGCCATGGCTCACAGGCCCAGCCACACCGCGGCACGTGGGATCCTCCCGGACCGGGGCAGGAACCCATGTCCCCTGCATCGTCAGGTGGACTCTCAACCCCTGCGCCACCAGGGAAGCCCCTGCTGTTGTACTCTTTATCCGTGGGTTTTGGATATGAGTTCCAGAGTTATGAGTATGGTTCTCTCATACGGAGAGATGCAAGTAAAGGGTCTACCCCTCTATTTAAAAGTACATGCTCGGACTTCCCTGGTGGTGCAGTGGTTAAGAATCCACCTGCCAATGCAGGGGACATGGGTTCGATCCCTGGTCGGGGAAGATCCCACGTGCCGCGGAGCAATAAGCCCGTGCGCCACAAGTACTGAGCCTGCCCGACACAACTACTGAAGCCCGTGCACCTAGAGCCCATGCTCTGCAACGAGAAGCCACCGCAATGAGAAGCCCACGCACCACAACAAAGAGTAGCCCCCGCTCGCTGCAACTAGAGAAAGCCCGCACGCAGCAACAAAGACCCAACACAGCCAAAAAAAAAAAAAAAGGACATGCTCAGTCATGCCTAAACCACAGTAGAATGCACAGCTTAGTCTACAGCAGGGGTCAGTAAACTTTTTCTGTGGAGGGCTAGATAATAAATATGGATTTGGTAGGCCATGCATTCTTTGTCACAACTACTTAACTCTGCCATTATAGTAGGAAAGAATCGTATGTGAACAAGTGGGTGTGGCTGCGTTACAACGAGACTTCATTTACAAAAACTGTGTTGAATTTGGCCCATAGGCTGTCATCTGCTGACCCCAGACTAGAAACTGGATCATGTAAAGGACTTTGGAGCTCAGGAGACAGGCCTAGGCTGCAGATACAAATAAAGGAGACATTACCTAAGTCTGGATAAACTCACCCAACACCAATGAGAAATGAGAGCCAAGAACAGAATCCAGGGAAACACTGACATTTTAAAGGGTGGACTGAAATAGAGGAGCTTGTAAAGGAAAATGAGAAGGAATGAAAAACAAAACAAAACAAAAACAAAAACCAGGAGTGTTAGGGCAATCAAGAAAAGGGAGAAAAGATCAACATTTTCACATGCTGCAGAAAGAAATACTCATTTCTATCATCACCATCCTTGGCCTGGAGTCTACTCAACCTTGTTTGCTTATATTTTGAAGTATTTTATAGTCTTTGCTTTTAATATTTTACATATCAAATTTTACCTGTTTATATTGTGCAAGGTAGCATAGTGGAGCTTTTAAACATAAAGATGCTAATATAAGTTGGTTTAGATTAATATGCAAATGTTTTTTCAGAAAAAAAATTATTGCTATAAACTCTATTTTCAAACTTAAAATCATAGATTTGTTTCAAGTTGAATAAAAGTAAAACACAATTCTAGATATTTGGAAAATTTGCAACATTGGTTTGAATGCTTTCATGATATAATTGAAACCATGGTCAGTTTAGCAACCTCTATACATTGGTCAGTCATATCCAGGAGCCCTTTGTTGACAAATATAGATGGGCTATTAAAAGCTCAATGTTGAGGGAATCAAAACAGCACTCTTTGGGGGATTGTTTGAGTCAGCATTCAATCAAAACAGCACTCTTTGGGGGATTGTTTGAGTCAGGATTCAATCAAAACACAAAAGCCATACAGTAATTTGAACAGGGTAAGTTTAATCAAAGAATTCTTAACTACAGCAGGAGGCTGAAGTAGGGAGGGATTGGATAGTAAGGAGTAAAGAGAATGCTAAAAAATATGAGAAAAGCAGATATAAGGGGGAGCTACTACCCTTAAAACTGCGATAGAGCCCCCAGAGAAGAGGCCTCTCCCTCTCCAGGCTAAGATCCTGAACTTATTGGAGAGAGTGCAGCCGTGCACTGAGGGGAGTGCCCGTGGAAGCTGCTGGTCCTGGGTGCTGCCTGTATTGCGGGATCCCGGCACTGGATAAGTTGCCAATGCTGCAGCAGCCAGATGCTGGAGGAGGCATGCATGCTGGAAGGAGCCTACAAAGAGGAGCAACTGGGACAGGAAGAAAAGCCCCTTCCTCCTGTAATCTCTCTCCAGCACCCTCTGCTGAGAAAGTATAACATCATGCTGGTTGGCAAAGGAAAAATAGTTAAAGTGTTCAGCTTCATTTTTGGAGAACACGCAATGAAGGGTAAATTGGGGTTGAGAGACAATAAATTGAGTTTTGACACAATAATATTGTGTACTTTAGGCTAGCAAAGCTCCTCAAGTGACCTCATAGCAACAGCACCTTTGGTTGTGGAATATGCTCTGTCGTGAGATGATGCCTTCCAATTTTTTGCTGTCTTGCCCTAAATGTATATTTATTTTCTAGGCTATGAAATATGGGGCAAAGT